TTCCAATTCTTCAACCAAATGATGAACCATATTCCAAGTACCCCAACCACAGCTTTAAATCAGATAACTGACAACAAACATGAAACATTCTTTTTCTGATGCATGAAGATATAGGAAAGTCAATACATTCAAGGTTCCCTATTGTCTATCACAAAATGTTTTATAAGTGTTTAACTTAAAAATGACTTACATACAATATAATATCTAAGATAAACTAAGAATCACCGACACTTGCAAGAAGTCAATGAGTCCATGTCGGACAAGTATACTTCTCAAACACACTTTTTTCCATGTCAATAATTAATTAGCAATGTTCCGACACTTCATAAGTTGTGTCAATAACTAGAAAATAAAATGTGCTCATCACTTCTTGTACACTTGCTGCTACAGATTAACAGACTTTGAAATTTTGATGCATGACTATCTTATATCATAGAAAACATAAAATTGTTAAGATCAGTAATATTAAAGTTCTAATTAAAGTTTATTGAAACAGAATAAAGGTTTACTAAATAAGAAGGCTAGGGAAGATGAGAACAACTATTCTAACAATTTATGATTCATACACTTTGTCTAATAAAAATATGGGTGATTATTGGCCACCATAAAGAAAAGTGAAAGGATATTGTTCACATGTAAACTTTGATTAAATAAAGAAGAGCGAAAGGAGAAAGAGAAAATATTATCATTGTTAAACAAGTCTGTAATACTGTTTAACCTAGAATATACAATATAAGCCTTTATATAGTAGAGCAACAAAACAATGAAAAATGCCTAAACTGCCCAAAATATAAATACTCTAACATCCACTCTCAAACTCATGATGTGGTAACATCAAGAGTTTACTAAGAAGAAAACAGAAGCGCGCGATAGTATGATATTTCATAAAGAAACGATCAGCAAGTAGCCAACGCAACCAAACTATCTCTGCTGTTGTGAAGGCCATAACATGATACTCAGCTTCAGCAGATGATCGAGCCATAACAGTTTGTTTTTTATTTTTCCACGAAATAAGAGAATCACCAAGGAAGAGATAGAAACCAGTAGTGGACTTGTGATCTATAGAGTCATCAGCCCAATCCGCATCCGAGTAAGCAAGAAGTTCTAGAGACTTACAAGAAAAAAATAATAAACTCAACAAAAACTTCAAGTGTAGGCTCAACAAATTAAGGCCCAAATAGCAATGAGGGGTCCAACAAAAAACCAAAGCTCAACAAAAATCACTAGCACCAACACCCAACAAAACAAAACCCAACAAAGAAAAGAAGAAAAGTCAAACCAGCAGCCCAATAGAAAGAAGCCCAAATTAACAAACCCAAAGGATTGGAGTTACCCAACAAAACAAATTCCAACAAAAAAAAAAAGAAAAGTCAAACCAACAACCCAGCAGAGAGAAGCTCAAATCAGCACCGGCCCAAACTAACAAACCCAAAGAATTGGGGTTGCCCAACAAAAAACACCAGCAACAATACCCAACAAAACAAAGCCCAACAAAGGAGAGAAGAAAAGTCAAATCCGCAGCCCGAGAGAGAAAAGCTCAAATCAGCACCAGCCCAAATCAAATAGCTAAAAGCCCAGTAGTCCAAAATAAGTGTAAGCTCAAAATTCTATTCTCAAACTCAAAATAAGACCCAAAGAGAATACCAATGAAGCCAAGAGCAGAAACTAGAACCAAAAGAAGCAGCCAACGCCAAACAATACAAAATTTGCCACAAATCAATTCAACAGCTTTGCAAATCAAATACTCGTAACAAATTGAGATTTCTTACACAACAATACAACAAAAATAGCACTAAAAATCGAGTACGGCACTGTTCACAGCATGAACAGTAACTTTGGTACTGTTCACATAGTATGAACAGTATTTTCGGCACTGTTCACAGCTCATTGAACCATAAAAAGTCAGCAACCCACCAATCACTAGCCCTCAAATCACACAACCAAGCACCAAAAACCTTTAGTCGCACTACTTAGGTTTGATATGAATTAAAGAAGTCGAAGAAAATAGCAAAAAAAATCACCATAGATGATGTCAGCCCTAATCCAAAAATATATTCTTTCTCCAATTAAATTACTGTGGTGCTACAATATATTTTGGATCGAAACCATAATCTGATACCATGTAAACTTTAATCAAATAAAGAAGAGCGAAAGGATATTGTCCACATGTAAACTTTGATCAAATAAAGAAGAGCGAAAGGAGAAAAAGAAAATATTATCATTGCTAAACAAGTTTGTAATATTGTTTAACCTAGAATACACAATATAGGCCCTTATATAGTAGGGAAATAAAACAATGTAAAATGCCTAAACTACCTAGAATATAAATACTCTAACAGATTTATTAGTCTAAAAATTCATGTTAGAGTACGAGATATAAGATTTTTTTAAGGGAACACACAAAGGAAACAACTTGCAAATGGCTCAACATCCTTGTTGAATCACAGGAAATCAGAAAGCTCAATGAACCCAAATTCATCCACCACCCCTAAATGAGTGTCACCAATGAAGAGTGCATGAAAACTAATCACACAACCTAACCATTCATCTCACACCGTTGTAGACCATACAATAGTTGTATTGATGAACGAGATATAAGATTTACTCATCCCAAAGTACTAATTTTTGTACATTGTATTATATGTAGATATTATTCTCTTCTTCACTCCTTTCCAGCAACCACTCTTATTTTCTTTTTCTCTTTTATTTCTTTCTCTTTTTTCCATAGTTTATACCAATTCCATTTTCCATTTTTTTGTTCTCGATAAGAAGCAACACTTTTATTAATAATAAAAGGAGAGTGTTACAAATGTTGATCTCAAGTGGACAAATTGTCCAACCCAAAAATGGAAGCCATCCACAGGCAAAAAAAAACCACAACAACTAGGACAGTAACCACAAATATTACAATCCGCAAGAGGCTGTTCAGCTCGTAGTAATGCTAAAAAGATGAATAGTCTCAACTTCCTTAGTCACGGATGCCCAAAATGAAGCCAAGAAATACCGGTCTCATAATCCTTCAACATCATCCCTTCTATTTTCAAAGATTCTCACATTCTCTCTCTCCATAACACCCAAATGAAAGCAAAAAAAAAAAAACACAATGTCAGAGGATCTTCCCTCTTCCACTTCCTCCCAATCCTACTTTCTACTGAGTAGAAAGGTTACCAAGAAATTTAAAGGTTGTGGTGTCCTTATTTTACAAGGACTAAAAACTTCATACAATGAATGATCGGTCATTCCATTTGTGCTTTCAGCAAGTAGGCGACGCGAATCTATGCTTTCTTTTGGACCGCTAATAAAACCTAAATAACATGACCTAAAATATGATTCGTGTCTACCAATTGTCAAAGGGTTTCCAACAGCTAAACCTCAATGAAAGAGAATATTAGAATTCTAGCATTAATATTATCTCAAATCTCATGTCACATGTCACATGTCTCTGAGACCTGATGACACGCGTTCCAAAGCACTCCAAATGTAACATTGCAAAATTGCTTTTCATCTTGTTCAGATGAGCATCATTTCCTTGTATTCGAGAAAACTTGATCTAGAGTCAAAAAAAGCCTCAAGCATCAGTGGCACACGTTTTGAAATCACTATATGAAACCCTTTTTTGAGAAGCAATAACACTAACATAAAGCACATGTTTTCTATGCTATCTAGCTATGCCATAAAATAGAAAGTGGTTTTCATGTGTCGTGTTAACTATCTCACTGCACTGTTACCGTTTACTTAAGTAATTGTCCACTTGCCAAAGACCAAGTATCTTGAAAGTTAAAGTATAAGTTGTTTCTTATTATTTGGATACCCACAAGGGGTTGGATACCCATAAAGGCTCGGATCGCATTGTATTCACAAATTTGAATTATTATATCAAATTTTCAGCTCCAAACTTTCAAGGAGTTTAGATATTCTTTTAGGATTCTCGCATGTATAGATACAAATGCAAAAATCTCATATGGTGGCTAGCTACGAAGCACCGACATGTCATTTGCCCCCTCACATATCCATGTCCGAAACGTCTAGGACACAGACACGTCCAAACGCGCGTCAAATACGCAAATTTCAGTGTCCAAATTTATTTATTTTTTTATGAATATGGAACACATCGGACACATCCAAATACGTTTTCTCCTAATTTGACAGTAACTCACAAATTTTTCGTTGTTTCGCAGCGGTCAATGAAGACGGACGACAACGACAATGACGAGGCCGATAACAAAGACGAAACTTAAGCCACAGAGCACCAAAGATTTGTAGAGCCAATCAGTGGCCATGTCTACAAAGAAGAGAGGGAGATGTTGTAGACATTTTTATAGATGGAGAGAAGTGTTGGAGGGGGATGAGAGAGAGAGGGAACAAACTTACAACAATTTTTTTTTTCTCTTCTAGATTGTTGTGCTGCATGCATACATAATTGGCGTCAAATTTGTCCATTTACTTGGGCTAAAAATATGTATAAGGCTAAATTTGTAAACAAAGGTCATATAAAAAAGTGTATTGTGTCAAATTTATGAACTAATGGGTCATATAAAAATTACATATATATATTTTAATTCAACGTATCCACATCCTACTTATTTGAGAAATAACTTGTCCCCGTGTCCCGTGGTGGGACCCACTAGAGCCATAGCAAAAGCAAGTCTTCATAGGATAATTGTCATTGCTTATAGACCCTAACCAGGATGATCTATCCATGATCCGTGTCCTTGCTTCTTAGGTGGCTAGTTTTCAGACATATTCACCATCCAACACACTTTGTAGCACTATCTAATACTATTTAGTTGATATAAGAGAAAATAAATTTGTATTCAAACTAAAATGCCTTGAATATGATAGGCTACTCCTCCAGGGGGCAGTGGTATATTCTCACAGTCAATCAGTTTACCTTAACACTTTCTAGTAAATTATATTGGCTATTTAATGCAATATCAACCTAGTTGGATTGATTCAGATTAATCTCTATTAACAACTGAGAGAGAAGTAAATAGCAGAGTCTACCTAAGGATTGCTGAATATACATCGCAACGGATACCTCCAGTACAGTACATCAATATATCCGTTCTCTCTTTGTCAACACCAGCTAAAGGATCTGAAGCAATGACCTGGATATATAGAAACAAAGAGAAAATAGAACACATCCATAGTTAAATAAGGAAACAGAATGCTTGCATAACACCACCCAAAATAATGATTCCCGTCGCATGCGCAAATTTTCTGGTCAAGAAAAAACGAGCAAAGAGACAAGGCATAGCAACCACAACATGTAGGTATTCCATCCAATCAATGCGTAAAATGCATCACATGAACCTTTTCCAGCAGAAATGACTGATATTTTGTTCATTATTTTTCTTTCCAAAAAAGGAAAAATGAAAACAACTAGATCGCATGCTATGCTACCCTTTCTTCATTCAACAAGTGCTTCCAAAGAAGTTGGAAAGAAGCCAGAAAAAGATCTATGCACTTTGATTCTTGCTTGAAACAACTTTGACTCATTCAATAATCCGCTCTCGACTTCGATGAAGCCTCCAAAAAAATCATCCATTTGTCAAAAATGAAATGAAACACATTCAATTTCAATCCACCCACCTAAAAAAAAACTTACCCCTCACAATTGACAGACATACAATTCCAATCTACCCACCTAAACAAGAGACCTTACCCCTCACAAAACTCAATCGAGGCTTCAATATCTGCAATTTCACCATGGACGGCCCTTGCAGAAAACAATTTTAGATATTGCCATTCTCGGGAAAAAAAATTGTCTTATCAACTTGAAAAGGCTTCAATTGAGCTTGGCATATCAACATTTTTGGCAATAATCTCTGGATCAGGGAGGAGATCAGGTTGTCGAGCCTCCCTTTTCCATATTTCGCAAGGACTCTCAAAAAATGGGGATAAGTTCCAGAGACTATTATTTGATGCCTTGTAAATTGGACATACCTCTGATTTGGACAGTCCAAATGAAGTGCTTCGAAAGCATCCCACATCAGGCCGTTGAGCCCCACGAAAGTGGCCAACATCCCATTCATAACCTGGTTACAAGTAATTACAAATCACGGATTTCAGTATTTGAATAATGGCCACAAATTCTCAAAACTAAGAGATAAAGTACATTCATAGATTTTTGTCAGCATATATAAGATGGATGACTATGATATTATGACAAAGCATTACAGGTAGAAGGTGAATGAGATAAGGCAAATTAGATGGGAAACAAAAGGACAGTAGCCCAAGTCCAAAATAGTATTAATTGATTTGTTGTCAGTAAAGAGAAACCGCCTTATTGGTCTCTCTTGTAACAGTTACAAGTTTGTTTGGTTCATAATCAGCCTGTATGACAATACATTTACTACTATTGGTGCCTATCAAAATGGCTTGAATGACTATAAATCCTACTGTGGGGATGTGTAGCTATACAAAGGTACGTTGACATGTATGTAGTTATCCTTAATGTAATATTTTAATCATTATCCAGTTCATTTGTGTATTGAGATCTAGGAACTTTTGGGATTTATGCCATAGGGGCTGCTATGGAAAGGATAAGAACCGTTGAGAGCTGGATTAAACTAAATTTGGTGCACCATCAGAATTGTTTTTGCCTTCAAATATCATCAAAGTCACATCCTCACGAGACTATATTTCCCTTTATCGTTTCTAGCAAATCTCACAAATATCTTAAATATTTCAAAAGAATGAAAAATTGACACTGCCACTTAAACGTTATACGCAACCAAGAATTTGACCCCTGTTAGACTGCCTATTAGCCTCAAAAGCTTAAGCTACTAAAGAATGGGTCAAACAATGAGTTTCAAGCTCTCATCCCCACCCTCGCATTTGACCTCCTCACACATGAAGAGGTAGACAAACAACAAAACGAAAACATAATATATATTCATTTTAGGGGACCAATACAAACAAAGAGGCCAGAATCAACAGCCTCCCAGAAACATAGCCCTCATGCTAACATATATTAATCTCACATATCTTGCAAATATTAAGATTTGTCATCAAATATAAAGTTGTCTGGTCATAAGTGCAGAAAGAAAATTTCTCAAAAGAAAGATTATGCTCAGATCCTGATTTTATTTCTGAATAAGTTTGTTTTGGTCATTCCATTTAAATTTTTCGTGTTTATCTAGTTCTTTAATCAGAAATAAGGACCATTTTTCATAACATCATTTTTATAACTAGCTCAACTTCTTCTATTTTTTTCAATGTCCATGTCTCACCTAGGGTCATTAAAGGGTAATTACTAATATGGTCCCATAATTCAACAATGGTACGAAGGGTGGACTAGAGATACAACTCCAAACCTTCGCATATTTGGAAAATGTGACTGCCATTGGATTTGAATCCACAACCTCAGTCACACCCTCAAATATTTTAGCCCCAACAGCAGCAGGTAATGGTGAAAGTGGGTCTTTATCTGAAGTCGAACGCACGGCCTTTTAACAATTTTCACAAGGATGATATTAGACTTAATTTTAATTTTTTACTATTTTATTGCTATTCTTAAGTTATAAATATAGTACTAATAGCAGGTATGCAACTGTGATGCAGGCCAAGACCTGAAAATCTGAGGATAATCCCGGGATCCCAATCGACAATTTAAAATGGCCACACAAATCTGCAATTATGCTCCTGCTTGAAGCTGAAGCAAGTTACTCTTCTTGCAACTGTATAAGTGAAAAAGGTTATTGTCTTTTCTTACTTCAACTAGTTTTCGTTATTTGAGGGGTGAGAATAGATGGACAAAGGACTGCAACATGCTAGAGCCTATGAACGGGTTATGTTCATCTCTTTAGAGTTAGTGGTCATATAATACGAATTTAGAAGTTGCAGCCTTGGTGCTTGTTCTAAAAGATTACTATTTACTTGTCGTTTCTGTCTGAATTCTCATTCTTACCTCTTTTACTTGGTCTTCTACATACCTTAAACCATCAAAACATCCCCACAAACAAAGTTATCAATTACCAGGCAAATCAATAGAATTTATGGAAGATACTAACTTTATCAAGATCTAGATGCAGGCTTTTCATTGTTCTTCTTCGATAATGGACTCTAGTTATTGGGTACCTTTAGAGAAGGTTCAAATTCAGATAAAAAGAGAAATAACTGCAATATTTTCAAATTCTGGAAAAGGTATATCACTCAATTATACTTACAACTAGAAGGGGGGAAATATTACTAAGAACATTTTGCAAGAGGGGGGTACCGTTTCTCACATCAAGTAGAACACTCTTTGTGGTGAGATCTGATGCATTGTCCAACTTATTTACTGATTCCAATCTATTCCTCCATTGAGATGGGGTGAGAGGTGTGGCTCGCATTGATGGGTCAAGCAAAGGAAGATGTGAAATCCCTCCTTCCAACTGGAGATGAAATTTTATAAGCGATAATTCTGTTAAAAAGTGAATTTCAAAAGAATATGCATTAATTTTAGAGAGAGAGTCAAGAAATGAAAACCTTTTCAACTATCCATACTATCGATTATTAGGGACAAAAGCACACATGCCTAAAGAAGTTACCCTCTGTAGTTATTGGCATGATAAAGGAAAACAAGTCCAAGCTCTCCCACCCCCTTGAACAGTAGCCCTCATGGATGAAATAGTCCTAGAGGAAGCAAATAGGATAACTAAATTTTCTTTGAACATTCAATCATAGTTATCATCCGCTACACTTAAAATTCAATGAAAAATGCATTTTAGCCAATTCAGTCACTAGCTTTTATTTGGGGAAGAATTCAATCAATGTCACCAGGGGTGGAGATAAGGTGGGGCAGGTGCCCCACTGCAATTTTAAGAACTTTTAAGGGGATTGTTTAAATTTTTTAAAAAATTTAAATTCTTTGAGGAAACAGGATTCTTTCATAAATAAAAAATTTAGACTTAAACTTCCTTTATACGACTCAATCTCATGACTCTCTCTTCAGTTTAGAGTTCCCTGTGCAATGACACACCAAATTACAGACTAAATCCTCCTCCCCTCCTCTCTAACTCCTCAATCGACAATAACAACCAAGGTTTTAAGAGTGTAATTATCACTCATAATTAGGCATGTTAATAGATAAGAATTTGATTTGAATCCGATCTGATTCTAAGTTCGATTAGTCAGACATGGATTAAACCAATTACTCGAATCCAAATACGTTATATCATATTCCACATATTCTAGTTTAAAGAGACCAAAATTCGATTTGATTGTGATCTTATCTAATTTATATACATATAAATGGACTTGGATATGGATTGAAAAAAGAGTCCCACCTAATAATAAAATTGAATTTAGACTAGAATTTTCAAATGGGATTCGGATTTGGTTCAATCAAAACCCAATCTAATCCAACCATTGACGGACCTACTCCCCATCAATTTGTCGGTCATGACGAACTTTAATTATTGTTGTTTGTTTTTTCTCTTCAACAAATGGTTGCCCCATGATGGAGAGACCTTGGCTCCATCCCTAAATGTCACTCACTCAATCATTGATCTAGTTTCAATGTTAAGGGTGATCTATTTCCATATAACCCTTGCTAAAGGGATGGTCAACTAGGCCTTGTGTTGATTTTGTTTCTGTTTTTTTCAATTATTCTCCAACATACAAATTCAGCAGCCTACAATTGTGAAAAGAGTATTTTATACATGAGCTTGCATGCAAATCATCCTAATCAAGTTCATCTCACAATGCAAGCCTTCGTAACATTTAAACAAATTGGCATTAGCAGCCAATTTTTAGTAACACAAATCACATGACAATATACTTACATCCACTCTTCCAACTTCCTTAGTTAGGCTTCAATCCATCCAACAAGTGTGTTTTCTAGGCTAACCCAACCACCTTGTGCTCTAAAAATGGTCAAACCACCACACAATCCTTTTTTTCTTTGCCATTACCCAAACTACAAGTTCCTTTATCTAGGACTTAACATAAGTTTTACCTAGGCTCACAAGATTTGTTGAAGGTTTTACCTAGGATAACTTACATCCATCTACAATAGACAATGCATAATAGATTTCACTAGCATTATCCTAAACCTCCTAACACCACTACTACACCTTAATAAAAGACATATAGACTCAAATTGAGTCAAGCCTACTCACAATCAAAGCTCACATAGACTTACAAGCTCTCCTTCAACCATGCATATCTGCTAGTATGCAGTGGTTAAATGGGTGGTAGCTTAATGTGTCAATAATGCACAAATTTTACCTCAATTGAAATAAGCCCAATGTTTTACTTGTTTCACAAATTGTTGAACAAGTGGGATTTCTAGATGGCAAGAAGATGATGTAAATTTACTTTAGGCCCTCTCAAATCACTATTGTATTCTTTCTATTATGTCTATATGATATTAGGATCTCAACCCATTTATATCCATTTGATATGAATGAAACTATATCCAGTGAGTTTTAATTTCTGGGCACCCTAAAAGAACAGCCAAGAAGCTAGTTGCTCCACTTGCATTTTTCCAATTTTGGAACTTAAATAGTCTACCCACAAAGACCAAGTATAATATGACCTTCCTATGATTCTAAGACTCATCCCTAAAGCTTGAAGCAGTGCTCATTGATGATGCTTCTTGTCAACCATGAAGTCTTCAAGCTTGAGATTGCATTTGCTCTTTGTTCTTCCCCTAGCTACAATACAAGTCAAGAAGTTATCAATCCTAAGGTCCTAGACCAAGCAGTGGAAACCAATAAACATGTAGCATACCTGTACCAGTGAGGGCTTATATCGTAGCTTCAATCTTGGAAATGCATGCCCCTTCGAAGCAACAGAAACTTGGAACAATATCCCAGAAAACCTATGGTCTTCTTTCAACCATTTAACATATGCAAAAGCATCTTTTGATGGCCCACTGTACTGCACAAAAAAAGCAGAGTGTCGGAAAGGATTCTAATAAGATGCTGCTCTAAGACATTCCTAAATAAAAGAACACAGATAAATTACTATATGAACTGATGATTCAATAGTCTTATTTTTGTACAATCTTCTATGCACCTTGGAATAACAGCTTTTCTTTTCTTTTTATTATTTGCTAGACATCGGACCCAAAATCAGTTGGCTAAGGGTGAAGTGTCCCCTCAACTTGGGTGTACCTAAACTTCCAATGTGGAATACAAGCTCTCTCACATCTTCACATGCGACACGTTCTTGCATGTGGGCTAACAAACCAAACATATATAAACAAATAAATAGGTTGGAACTGAACTGAAACAGAACGACAAACAGATTGCAGAACAACCACTCAAGGCCTAGCTCTGATACCATGTTACTATGTTAGTGCATTCAACTCAAAACAAATTGGTTAAAGGTGAAATAGCCCCTCAAATATATAAACCAACCTTTGATGTCTCTAAACTTATGATGTGGGATGCAACCTCACTTCACTATTATCATTATTTCCTTGATTCAAGGAAAGGAGGATCAGCTAGGCAATAGCAAATAGGAAAAAGATAAAGACCAAAGGGACTACTGAAGCTATGTATCAGACTATACTAACTAATTTATTTTGGAGTTCAACTACACATAAACACTTACACATGCATGTACACACACGTGCGCGCAAGTACAAACAAAATGTTTAATGAAACACGAATGTACTAAGACTTCTTATCTCATCTCGCCAAAAATACATGTATATACATAAGTGTGTGTGTATATATATACACATATAGATGTATATATATGCGGGCATTTGTGCACGTGAAAGGGGGAAAAATTCATACCTGCGCATTTATCCCCTGCTCATTCAGATATATTCTTCCGTGTATGTCACGATCCTAAAACCATCATAAAACACAAAAAACAGTTGTCAATTGACGTTGGTCATCCATGCTTTAATACATTATACAGATTTTGATAACATTTTTGTAAACTCCATGTGTACTAGGCATTTCCAGCATCAATATAGATTGCACAACAAAATATTTCATACCCTGCAACCAAAGAGTTCTTTTTGAATGTTGAGATCTCTGAAAACAACAACAATTGAATTAAAATTACATGCTTGCAGAAAATTTCAGTTTTTTACCAGAGTCTCATCATTTAGATTGCATCCATAACCATTTTCCTATTTGCAAAGCGTTGTTACTTTCTTTTTACATACAAAGAAGCAAAAGACAATTTGCCCCCAAGAACACTAGATAGAGAGACGGGGAGAGAGAAAAGAACCAACAATGATTGGGAAGTATGTACATGGTAGAAAGTATTGTATGTAAAAGTACAAAGAAAATCTGTGATGGAACTCCAAGGGAAAAGGAACTCACCTACAATGTATTAGCCCTAGCTTAGCCAGAGTTTGGTCTTTCAAACTAAACTATACTTTCTGAGTTACATGAATAAAGCATGTCTTGTGAAGAAAGTCGCAGAGTATGGCTTTATGAGATAATGAATCAAGAGAGAAACTGACAAATTCAATAAGCTTTTGGGATGGTTTGATTCAGCTAAGAGTAGAAGAGTAGAAGATCTCATTTCCATAAACTTGAAAAAAAAAAAAAGAACAATATGAAATCCAAATATATCAAGCCATCATTGCATTTAGATGATAGTGCACATGCCTTCGCACTGCCAATTTCAATATAAGGTAAGAAACCCAGAATATATAATCAAGTTTTGGTCATGAGGCACTCGTGGCCGTCTTAAAGAACCATACTCCTCTTACTGGCTCCTTGGCTGGTTACACGTTTACATAGAATAATCTAAGGAATGTGTGTCTCCTTCAGTTCTTGAAGGCATCTCTCTTCTGCTCTAGAGAGCAGGTTTCGCCCTATGCATGTGAGGTTTTCTTATTCAAAACAGCTTCTTGATGTTCTTCAACACAAACTAATCTCTTTCCAAAAGGAAAGGAAAAATGCCCATTTCATTTCTATGCGCTTTTTTGTTCACCCCCTTTCTACTCTCAAAGATCCACATACAATCAAGGCTTGAAGAAAAGCTTCTATCCTCGGTGATTCATTGCGTCCTTATCAGACATTTGAGAGAAGCAATATAATACCTAAAGTCTCAATAATCACATTCATTTCCTTTCTGAAGGTGTTTCATAAACCAAGAATTTAAGTATGATCATCTTGCAGACATCATCAAAGCTTGCTTGGTAGATGGGATACATGTTCCTTACCACTTAGTGATTTTGTACGAACTTCCTCACTTGCATTTCCCATTTTTTAAAGCTTCTCCTTGTAATCTCCCGAACCAATTCTATTTTACATTCAAGATTTCCTATACCTTCCCCCGGAACTATTATCATTGCATATATAGATAAAAAAACACACTTGGCCTAGGCTTCTTACTTGAATTAAACTATAATTTCTCCAAGTTAATAGATCAGAAACTCCATCAAACATAATGTAATCAACATGAAAATTATCAATAAATGTAGAAAGAATGGAACGGGAACGGTTGAAAGAACCTGCAAAAAGGCGAGGTGTTTGGACACCTCCTCTTCTGGGTTTTTGATGAACACAAAACGGTAGAAATTCACCACTATAAACTCATCATCCCCGAAATCTCTTGACTCATCAACATCAACCCAACTGGGTTCGGAAGATGATAATGCACAGTTGAGAGTTTTTTTACACTGCCAAGTAAAGAGGCCATGTGGTTTCACTTGACACCCAGAAAAAGGCAGAGGCAATGAAGCCCTGTACCTACTGCGATTTCTTAGTACTTTTGCAGAGCGATTAGTCGTAGGCGTGTACGGAGCGAGTGTTGGTCCTCCAAAGACGACTGCCCAGCCCCTCATATTCCTAGTCCAGACTAGGTGAAACGTGAGATGGTAGCCGTTATCCTCTGGGGGCTCATGTTTGTATAGTGGCAAGGGAAGGATTAGATTGCTTTTTTGTACCCGTTAAATTTGTACCCGGTTGGATTTGTACCGAATAAATGATTAAAATGACATATTTGCCCAAAGCCATCAATCTTGCTCTACCCTACCCTCATCCTTGCGCCTTCCTGTCTTCTGCCTAGCGTCGCTACTACCCATCTTTTGGTCATTGCAGAATGGAAAAAGTTGAAGTCCCTCAAACAATGTCCATTGCTCTGGTCTGGTGGCACAGCCAGGGAAGCTCCTTTATTGGTTTAGAACAACTAATTATTACGTCTTTTTCCACTCACATATCTTTATTTTCATTCTATTTAATTTATCATTATTAAATTATTAAATTCACCCTTTTTATACTCAACCTATTAATAATTAAATTTACCCATGCTACATACATCATCTTTAATAAATAAACTTATTTTATATTTTGTCATAATTAAAAAAAAAAATTACTCAAAATTGACAAAGAAATGGTGAATAGAAGTTAGGACTTGTAAACTATAAGACCATTTTAAGTAATGGATGGAAAGACAATGAAAAACTCAATTTCATAGTAACATGATTTGGAGAGCACAACTTCCTTGATTCCGATTTCGATTTCGATTCCGATTCCATGGCCAAATAGATTTGAAGGAGATAAGATTTGAGGTATTTGGGAGCAGAAGATATACCAAAAAAGATTTAGGAAAAAGTTTTTCAGGGATTTCAATGGATATAAATGTATACAGAGAATATAAATTCAAGAAAAAAAATTCCTACATAAAATTATGTCATTTTGGCTTTAACCTCACTAGCATTTATAATAAATGCCGGCATCTCATTCAATTGCCGGCACTTCTATCAAACGCTGACAGATGATTTTTTTCTTGTTGTGTCCACTTTTTCCCCGGCCTTATTAACAATCAGCTCATAGAAATTGCATTGTTTGAATGTCCATTATTCACACACACCACAAAAAAAAAAAAAAATGCAAGTTATACTACAAGAAATTACAGTTTTAGCCGCCACAATTGGCGTAGCTAAAAGTTAAAAAATTGTCGCTATATGTTTTAGTGATAACTTTTTTTTTATTGTCATTGAATCTCAGCAATATGTGATATGACTAAATCATTTAACTATAACATTTGTAAATTTACCACTAAAAATAAAATTTTTAGCGACAAAATAAAAAATGCTACTAAATGTCAAATATTTATTGCAGCTAATTAAAATAATTTTGTTATTGAAACTCAACAAGTTGGCGCTAAATATATTTAGTGAATAAATAAAACCAAACATATAGTGACAACATTTATTCACCGCAAAAAGTGAACACATTTAGTGGCAATTTATAATCGGGACCGAAAGTTTTGAATGAATTAATCATTAAAAAAATGTGGACAACAAAAATGTCATGATCCCTCATCTTTTTAGGTTGCTAGCCTGTAAATAAAACAATTGAAAAATGAGTAAAATGATTTCCAAAAACCATAACTACTTAAAGCTTTGCATGAATGAAAGCAACAAATCAAAGATAATTAACATATTATATGTACACCAGGATTTTGGCTCTATCTATGTGTGCTTGTCTATGATGGTTCTAGAATATCTATTTAGTGAGAAATATAAGAATTTGGTTTGTTGTTCTCAAAAATTCTTTCATCAATATGGTTTGTTGTAGGAGAGCGAAAAGGAGAAAGGGGAGGAGGAAGAGGACATGAAAAACCAAAAAAGTAGTAGAGAAGGAGAAAAAGGAAAAGGAGAAGAAGGAAAATTAGCAGGAGAAAGAAAAGAGGAAGAAGGAGCGGCGAATAAGGAAAAGGAAAAATAGGAGGAGAAGGCAAATGAGAATTAGAAGGTGTAATGAAAAAGGAGGGGAAAAAGAATAAGGAATCTCACCATGAATTTCATCTACTAAGACAATATCATTTGTAAATAGCATATACCATAGAACATCATCTTGAATGTGTCTAGTGAGTTCATCCATAATTAGGGTGAATAGGTATGGACTTAGGACTGATCCTTATTGATATCCCACCTTGATTGAAAATTTTTTACTTTCTCCTACAGAAGATTTAGTTGTAGTCATATTCCCATTATACATGTCTTTTATTATCTCATTATACCTATTCGTTATTCATTTTCTCTCAAATACCCTCGATATTATATTTCTAGGCACTTTATGATACGTTTTTTTAAGATCTATAAATACTATATAAAAAATTTTATTCTTCTTGGTTAATCTCAACTTTTACTTCGAAAGATCACTCAAATCTCAATTTGCACTCTCAAAGTTTAAAAATATCAATTTATACCTTAAAAAACATAAATTTATATCAATGTAGACTTGGGGCTAACTCTATCCATTTTGTTGTTAAAAAAAGTTTGGATTAATTATAAATTATACACTTCAAAGATTAAAATTTCATATTTATGATTCAAAAAGAAGTCCATCTATTAATATTTATTAAATAACTCTCAATTGTATTGTGTGATAATATCTTCATGTCGTGTTCAGATCGATAAAAAAATATTTTTGAGACCGGAGACTGCAAAAAAAAAAAAACACTGCACCAAAATAAAGACAAAGGATGAAATGTTTCCCATGAAGAATGCTGCTCTAGAACTTTCATATAGATCCTCAGATAAACAAAGTTGCAGCCTAATCTTATTTTATAGATGGCTTGGTTCTTCTATTCGATTGTATCAAATGTTCATTAACTATTCATGACACTGGGTGAGACACAATGCACCCCTGTGGGAGTTTTCTTATTTTTATTTTATCAGAACTGTGACAGAGAAAAGCGAAAGAGAGAGTAGGGAGGTACCTGTTACCGTTCATAAAGGCTCAATATCGGTACTATGGGCTTCAATATCGTCTCTCAAATCCGCAATTAAACCGAACCTTCCAACAGTCCATCTGCAAAGACATCGTCATCAAGACTCCCTTCTTAGTCTCTTCTCCCTGTGGTCGCTGCTGGTCTCGCTGTGGTCGTTCGTCCCCGGTGGAGTGGAGCTCTGTTAAAGAATTTCAGATTGTTAGGATTAGGACACATCGAACTACTAACATCCATGTTACTCTTTCTAATTCTGTGTTTATTCCTTGGTTCTGGCACAATTCCTTTCACCCTATTTCTTTCGTGCAGCAAATCAATCAGAAAAGACAGAGATTCAATCACTATGGTAAGAAGGGACAGAAATCAAAAAATCGTTGAAATCAAATAATCGTTGCTCGAGTATTTAGGTTAGTGTTTTGAGAGAAAGAGAGAGAGGGTAGGGGCTGTGGGGTGGTCTATCTTCTTCTTCTACAAAATACTGCCTTTGTAACAATGTGTCATTGTGGGCGGTGGGTGAAAAGGAGGAAGAAGAGGGTGAGTGGAGGACTTCTGTCATGGCTGTGAATTGACAAATGGGTTTCGTCTTGTGTTGGAAAGATTCTGCTTAAAATATATGACCTCAACAAAATATCAACATGTCTAAAATAAAATTTGTATTGAGTCAAAAAAATAATCAAAAATTAAATTTTTTAAATTTTTTTATAGAAATAAATGATGTGATCGAAATAAAAATAACAAATATATGAGAATAAGATTCAAACTCTTAACTTTTTTATTATAAAAATATTTATCTATCAACATCTAAATAACAAGACCCATTTTGAATCCTCTAACTTAGCTTAGTACAAGAGAAGTTGAGAGTCACTCAATCCAATGGCTCAAAATTATCATCACAATCTTTTTTCTTCAAATTAATCCATTCATTTTCACATTAAAGGTCAAATTCGCCTCAAAGTTAAAAATTTCACTTATCTCATACCTTTTGATGCTAAGCAAGGTCAATAAATTCTTCTTTCTACCAACTTTTTTTTTTTAAATAGTGGGACAAAATTAATTTTAAATTGTGTAATTATAGAAAATGAATAAAAAAAATTGTTATTCATATATTTATATTACACGACTAATGTTCAATTTATTTCATGTTTGATATATATTAATTAAAGGCATGTTTTGTATGTGGTTTTTGGTGGATTTTATAAAAATTTTCTAATAGACCTTCTTATCTCATGTTTGGTTTAAGATTTGAGACCCGAGATTTGTAGGGTACATGAATCCCGACCCATATTATACACTAGAATAAAACCTATGTATATGATTTTCAACAAACCCATGAGAATGGATTTGGGTAGCCTTAGTCAATTCTATAACAAATATTTATGATGCAGTCCTTGGCTCCGGGGAAGATAATTGGACATAATAATCAGACCCAACAGTGGCGGAGAAGATAATTGGACATAAATTAATGACTATATTGGAAATAATTAATAAATGAATATGATTAATGAATAGATTAGAATTAATGGCTAAATTAAAGAATAATTATTTGCCATGGCTATATTCAAATGTCGGCTGAAATGGGGTGGTGTAAAAAGATTGTACTATTTATTAATTAAATACAAAATTTAATTAACATGACAACGAATTAACACGTTAAAGAATACAATTACTAATGAGCAAAAAAAAAAAGAAGAATATAATTATTAATTAGTATGGTTGCTATTTTCAAGATTATTTAAGTTAAGATTAAATTCTTAATTTGTCTGATTAATTAAAAAAATGGTGTCAATATTATGGTTAGCATAGATATAAGATCGAGGTTAGGTAAAGTTAGTATGATCTGTTGTCTCTTCCTGTTAGTATGATGTTACCAGAATATATGGTGAAATTTATTATCTAATGATAGAATCAAGAAGCAACTACAGCAATTGGAGTTGACAATGTTTGTACGAAACGACATGGTCTACGTGCAATGCATGCATGCATGCATGCGCTGACTAGTAATAAAAGTGGCACAACGGCTAAAATTAACTCGAGACAGCCAAATGTTGGAGGATCATGTCAATTGCAGCACATAATCAGTAACTAAAGGTGGAACCTCGAAGCATGACCACAAATACCATTACATTCAGAGTGATTGTCTACAGACATTGATGACTCAGTCTCGAACAATATTTACAGCAGTGAAAAGGGATTATGGACAATTACCATGGACCTATTTTTAATATGTATCATTGATGTTCAAGAACCAAATAAAGACTATCAACTCACCCTTGCAAAAAGTTTAATTGTACATCATTTAAAAAGCATCTCCTCGGTTAATATCAGGTGGAACTTTGTAGGCGCGATTGAGCCGTATCTGAAGCAAAAAAAAAGTAGTAAATTAGCAACCACAGAGAATAAGATATCCAAAAGCACATAACATTCTTCGCAGCCAACTGCTTGAAACATTAAAAAATATGAGCATAGTTATTAACAGCATTGACATTCCGGATAGGTATAGTTGCCCTGAATAGCTAGCTAGCCATGTAGACATAACAGGCTAGGCCAAAAATTGAATCCAAAGCCCAAAAATTGAACATCATGTGTCCAACAGAATGAAATCAAAGATTCTAGAAACTTTGATCGTCGAATCAAGGTAACAAGACTCTGTCATAAGCAAGCCTCAACTCCAGTCGAGGCATGCTTACAACTTTAATTGAACAAGAGCAATGCATGCATGAATCTAGATTACCTGTGCTAATGTGTAAATGGATCGCAGTATCCTTGCATAATCAGTGCCAAGCATTTGAATGACAATATCTGCCAGTAATGTCCCCCACAGCCTGCATTCCAGGGATGTAAGTTGGCGAGAGAAGACATATCTCCCCACAAGTCAGGAACAACATTGAAAGCAGAAAAGACAACAGTAACTGAAAGTTCAAGCCTGACAGTCATGATGTGAAGTTCTGAGCAGAGCTGAGCCATCTAGATGTAGTTTTAGCAGTGTTTTTCAAAGCCTCAAATAAACCTGCTGAGGAACTATCCAGAACAGTCAATCATAGTCATATAGGTCCGTATGTTCTCAGTTTGTGCAAAATAATCCCCTTCAGCAGGATTGTCCAATCTTGTGCCAATTTACTAGAATAACAATTCACGAGAGCCACACTAAAATCTCAATTCTTTCCTATCCTTAACACTCTTCTTTAGTTAGTTTGTCTTGCCCCACGTTCCCAGTAAGCCTGAACCATTCTTTTGATTAACGGTAATAGTTTCAAAGCTCATCAATTCATTCTTGACTATACCACAACTAACCCATTAATCAGGACTCAAAGAGTGCTAGTAGAGATGGACTGGATAAAAGCCTAACGCTTAGCTTCAATTTGAACTCACAACCTCAAACTTTTTTGCCAGGAATTTTTCCCAGTGCGTCCGGTAATGGTCCCTTTTACACCTATCACCTTCACTCATGTCAGTTGTAGGTTGACAGGTAAAACCACGAGATGTCAAAATGAAAACACTATCCTTTGTCCAGCCCCATTCTCATGCATGACAGATTTTGTTCCTATTCTTTTCTTTTTTTGGTGTGGGGGTGGGGAGGGGGATGGAAAACAAAAGAATCAAAGTATCCAACTATCAGAATTAGGTTAACGAAAAAGGCTGCAGAGAAAGAGAAGGGGGGTGGGGGGGGGGGGGGGAGAAAAAGAAAGATCAATTTTTACAGATATCCAACAACAGATCTGCACCTCATGGAACCAATCAGCCCCAACAGACATTTCACGAGCATTGTATGTGCAGAGAACATTTGATGCAAGTAGCAAATAAAGATACACTTATGTTATGAGAAATCAAATAATTTCAAGTGATAGAAGTTCGTAACAAAAATTAGATAGAGATAATACATTGGACCAAGTAATGTCACCATGCTCCTAAGCCCCAAATATCGGGATGCAGCGCCGGCTAACCCCTGTCCACAATGAACAAAATGAGAAATCCTAGAATAAAACATCAAACATTAGCTTCCAAGTGGGGTGACCAAAGCTAAGTTGCTAAAATAAAACTCTACTTATTGTTATAATGCTTTTGGCTTTTGGGTGGGGAACCAAGATGGATAGGTCTACTATAGAACTTCAAATTCTGCCTATCAAGAAAATCGTCAAGTAACTATGGCCAAAAAAAGATGTTATTAAGAAAAACGAAAAGCAGAGTGAGGGGCAGAGAATCGTTATGAGACTATTTCCTAATTATGGTTTTATAATATGGCAAATTACACTTCTTGAGGTTCATCTAAAACAGATAATGCCTCTTAAGGCGTAGAAACAACACTAACCCCCTTGCCAGAGTTTGTCGGATGCCAGGTCTTAATGGAAGTTGTACAATGACTATATTTCTCTTCCTTCTTAACATTATCAGCCTCTGGTCAAAGTCAATGTAAACAAAGAAAAGAAAAGAAAAAAAAAAAATCTAAGAAACAATTGTTTATCTTATATTTGTTCTTCATTCTATGTATATTCTTCAGTAGGAAATAAAACGTAAAAAGCAAAATTCATAATTGTTTTTTGTCTATCATGCCATTAGGCGTTTGTAAAGAAAATATAGAAGGGAAAAAAATCAAAGTGGTCACTTATGTTGCCTATTTTCCCTATTAAGTTTCATGGAATAAATATTTTGGTATTGAATAGTTGTCATCAATATGCTCTATTAATAAATCCAGTTTACGGTGCTCGTCTCGAGTTATTCCTAGTTATGTTGATTGTTAAATGGCTTATTTAAAAAACAGGTACTACATTATAATGAAGATAAATAATACAATTGGTTTGATTTTCTTCCTTCCTCATATAAATTGCACTATTCAAATAACACGCTCCAACAGTATTTACAAGCTTTTATCTTTCACAAATAGGATTTGTTTATCATTTTTGCTTGTATTGATGATTTGAGGAAAGCTCATAGATCCACTTACAAGTATATTTGGGTAGTTTGTTGCAAAGTTAACTTTAGCACAAGCAAAACAAGCATTTTGAAATGTTCGTAATGACGTCAACTCAAGTCAAACTGATGGTTAACCAGTTAATGAGGGAGACTGTATTGGACTTCAAAACATAAAAGGGTAGAGAGTAATTTCAAGAACCTCAGGTGATGAGCTGTATTTTAAGTAGACTCAAAGGGAGTCAATGTAAGTTTCCCTTGTGTTATCTTGTCTAAATAAGTTAATAGTACATAATTTTTGGGTATACTAGCTTTTTTTTGTTTCTGTCGATCACTGTCCAAAATATGCTTCCTACAGAAAGCAACCCATGGCTGTACATCCAAAACACAATAGGGATTTGTCACAAACTACTTGTATAAAGAGAGAATCACCTGCTTTGCCGTGAGCAGGGCTGCTCTGGACTCCAGGTTAATAGCTGCTACACGTCCACCCTGAAGACCAAATATTACAGGAGACGTGTTACTATGTCATAGGCAGGATGTCAATGAAAGTCTATCACACTACGTCATCTCATCTAGCACACATATCTCCTTTATATTGTGTATGTAGAAATGGGTTCTATTATAAGGTTGTGGGGAAGTCAAACGGTGGCTAAATATTTAGCTAGATGGTGAGCAACGATATCATTAGAGCAGTTGTCACATAATATATGATTACAAAAAAGTACATCAGCTCACTAGCTAAGATGGAAGAAAATACACAATTTGGGCCATAGGCCAGTGGTACTTAGAGTTAATGAGGCAGTGGCACAAAATCTTACCCTTCACAACAAAAGTGAAAAAGACAAAATCGACAAGGATCTAGCTAGGACAAACCTCTCAAAGAATTGGTTATATTCCTGTAAAGCACATTATCTCAGCCATGAACTTTTGTTTTTTTTTTTTTTAAACTAAAAGATTAATGTGAAAGATTGTCATACAATGTCGTTCGAAAAATCACGTCCAGATTATACTCTTGTAAAGCCTGTCAAAAACTGTAAGACAAAATTATGAGCTTTGAGCAATACAATAAACCAACATGGACTCAAAAGAACTCATAGCTGAAGTATATTTTGAGGAAATATGTGAGAAAATTCTAGCTAAAAGTAATCTGCTTCTTATCCAAAAAACTAAAGACAACATTGATAACTGTAACAGTTTAAACCCATATGAAATGCAAAACTCATCATGGATTCAAAAGAAGCCATAGCTGAAGTACACATGGAGGAAAGATGTCAGAAAATGCTAACTAAAAATAATCTAATTGCTTCTTAAATACAAAGTAGGCAGTGGATTGTGATTCACTCCATGCCACTGGAGAATTCAGCTCTAATTATTGTTGCTCCTCAAGATAATCACTTGGGAAGTAACAAACTTGAAAAAGGTTATGCAAGATAATCACTTGGGAAGTAACAAACTTGAAAAAGGTTATGCAAGTGATGCCGCATTGCTTTGCAATTGTTGCAATAAGACAAGGCATCATAGAGGCACTGACTGGAGATTTCATGGTAGTGCTAAATTTGGAGGTAGAGGAGAACAAACAGACAAAAAATGAGGATCTGGAGCTCATCATACTACTGCAGTGGGGACTTCTTTACCTAATATTGCTTCGTCATCTGCGACTAAGATAGTGACTCTTATTATGGAGGAAGTGGAGATTATCTGCTGTATTATGTTGCAACTAGAGGCACCTACCACTACATCCACCTCTTTTGCACATTCAGCTAAATTAAATACATGCTGTGCATCTTGTAATATCATCTCTTACCCCAAGATCATTGATCCAATGGCCTCAGATCATATGATGATTTGCCAATTTGTTCTAATCATACACTATTTATTCAGGTAAACAATAGTATAAAAGAGTTTATGGTACCCTTTCCACTTTGTCTGGTAAAGGTTCTATTCCAGTTAAACTTACACCAAAAGAAAGAGAAGGAAGAGAAAAGAAATCTATTGCTGCTCATTAACAATGCAACAACAAAAAATTGGTACAAGAGACATACACCCTACAAAAGGAACCAAAGACAAAATAATACAATCTTAAGATAATATGGTTACAGTCTCTGGTTTTTCTTTCCTTTCATTTTGCAAGTATATATATACTTTCTACAGGAATGAAAAGGAGTTAGTTTATAATAGACTGCCAAGTACTATAAACAACTCTTATTACCTAACCAAAAAAACTAATGAAATGGAACAATAAATACTAATGTTACACTTGTTAGTTCTTACGAATATTAAAACACAATAATGAGAAACATCTATCATATATACAACACAAATCAGTTCATCCATAGCTTAGGATTTGGATATTGTGTGCATAAAAATAGGGTAAAGGAAAAGTTCAGAACTCTAATAACCAGATATAGAGGTTTTATTGTCCCATACTTTTACCAGACCATAACTGGTCAATCATGTACCTCTTTGATAATTTCCTTCTTTATCTGGTATTTGGCAGTTTCCAAGAACATCTTCCCAGATAATCTCTTTGCTAACTGCAATGGCAGTGAAACTAGTTTACAATTGCAAATATGGAACCAAGTTAAAATCAATCACATGGCTCATTCTCTTACCAACTCATATATTTTTCCCAGTGTAAGTATCCCACCACCCTAGGATATAGAGAATGAGTTACATGAAGATGATGGCAAAAGAATTATAGAGAGGAAGAAATTCAGTAAATTGTTACTAAACCTTCAAAATCATTGAACGGAGCTCTGTTGTCCCAATCCTTAAAGCAGTGGAAGCCTGTAAGCTCCGGTTATCGAGTCCAAGTTCTAGTCTGCCATGCCTACTAGAAGTCTTAGAGCTTTCCCATGAGCTAGGAAAAACTCCTGACTCTCCACTACATAAGGCAATAACATGTTCTAAACCATCAAGATATTTTACACGAAGCAACTGGTAAACAATTATCTCTAGGAAAAAAGTCATCTGCTGATATATTTAAAATTTTAAACTAACACAGCAGTATCAAAAACATCGGCTAATTCATACAAATGTACAAATGAAGCGGAACTGGTGGCATATCTAGGACAATTTACTGAGCCATTACAAAGGCCAACACTAAATTGCAGACACTTCTCATCATCAACTAAGACCCTAGGAGGAAACCAGAATCAAACAGCAATGCCTGAAAAATAAAAAATCCTGCTGCAGCAAAATTTGAGACACTGTATCTCATCATTCAGCTATTGAAAATAAAATACAATTTAAGTTGATGCCACTTATTTCTTCCACTCTTTTTTAAGCTGCATTTGTCTCATTTATGAAAGTAAAACCATTGTTACGGAGAAGGAAAAACAGAACAGTTACACAATTAAGCAAAAGCAGATTAATTCAAAAGGAATTCAAGTAGCTGAGCAAATTCTTTAGAGGAGGTCTAAGCAGCTATTCCTCCAACAAATCAGGGCACAGACCACAAAAACTGGATGCAACCCTAAATTTGTCACTTTTCAACACAAAATTGAAACCAATACTAAGCTTCCCAAATGTCCTCCCTATTACTACAAAATAACCCAAGACAGCTCCCAATCAAATAGAAGTTGCTTCCATCAAACCCAACAAACTTGTGTTAGTAATTTTGAAAAGAATCATTAAATGGCATAATAAAGTGCAATTCTGCATATACAGAATACTGGGAGGGTAAACTGGATATAGACCATATTTGTGCAAAGTGGAGATTCTAAGACTAAAATTTGCTTTCTCATGCTTTACAGCTGGAGCAGCACTTTCCCATTGAACTAAGCAATGACCCCGAATTGGCAGAGATTTATGACACTTCCAATCATTGTTCCATAATATCACCCACACAATTGTTAACACTGGCACTCGTCTTTCTGGATGCACTTTTGTGGTTGTTCCAATAACCTTGTTACTCAAATTTTTGCTACCCGTATGAGGAGTTCTGATCACAAACTTACCATCAAGCAAATACTCACCATAACAACTCAATGAATAAAGCCTCCTCTTACTAGATATCCAACCAAACCATTATTGTGAATGACTTATTCAATGAAATTTCCATCATCTAGCTAAGCGTGGAAAATTGGTGAGGATTCCTAGTTAATTTCAAATAAAAATGTGGGTTTTTCACTAACGTCCCTTTCTCATAGATCTTTAGGGTGCAATGCTAGGTAATGCCACATGCCGACTTGTGGGAGATGAAAATTAAGTGCATTTAGGTTAATTAAAGTTGGATTAACAATTTATTCTAAGAATTCAAAATAGAAATATTCCTTGACCATCACAAAACTTTTATACAATCAAAGTATTAGCCAAAGAAAGACATCATCCCCTGAAGAGGTACCAACATATACTGAAAAATCAACACAATCAACATGCTGCCAAAACCAGCAAATCGCCATACATCACACTAAGACCCTTGCAAGTTGGATAGTCTTTGGTATTACTATCTTCATGATTCAGCTTCTACTGAGTGTTTAATGTATTTGAGTGCCTCATAGTCTAAATATAACACAAGCTCCTTATAGAGAAGATAACGATTCCCACAGTCACGACTCACGAGATGAAGGTCACTCTACCTTTTCAATGATGGTTTTTATTAAAAGAAATTCTCGTGCCATAAATTCACTTATATCAATGCTCCCGCGTCATTTATGTGTGATCATAGTTTTTAGTATCGTACGATACGCGATACGTATCATATGATACGTCACAAGGGATAAAATGATACAGATCGTAGTTTTTTATCGTTTTTGGGTTGTATCGTCTGATACACGGTACGTATCGTATGATACGTCACGATACAGGGGTAAAACGATACGGATCGTAGTTTTATATCGTTTTTGCGTTGTATTGTCCAATACACGATACGTTTTTACTTTTTATAATACGATATGTATCAGTACGATATGCACGATACGTGCAAAGGCTATTTATTTTTATTTTTATTTTTTTGTATAGAACGACGTCGTGTTATGCTGAGAGACTAATTTTTTTTATCCCTATAACCACTTAAACGACGTCATTTCAGTGGCTATAGTTTACAAAAAAAAAATTAAAATCTCTCTTTTCCTTCTTCGTTGTCCGCTGGTCTGCGGTCATAGTAGCCTTCTCTCTGTTCTTTCCATTGAAGCTCAGTCTCCATCAAAGTTTCCTTCTCCTTCTCTAGTTATTCCAGCGAAGTCTCTTGGGTGTTTGAAGTTTGAATTAGTGAACTATGGTGTGAACTTTGTATTATAATATTAGTGAACTATGTTGAAAACTTGAATAGTTGGTGGAATGATAATGAAATGCTATATTTTTATGAGTCTATTATTTTTTTTCAAAAGTATATATATTTTATTATTATTTATTTAAAGTTACGTCATATCTTACGATACATGATACACGATATACGATATGATACACTATTTTTAAAAAACGATACGACTTCCGATACACGATTTGATAACTATGCATGTGGTATGGACATACTTTTTGATTAGCTAGAGTTCTATACCTTATACTTCTAAGTGGTGTAATATGTCAATCGCACAACAATCTACAAGCACCTTCATTGTCCATCCTACCCAAATGCTTAGAGCAACTTCTACTTCAAAATTGTCTTTTCTCAATAATGATCACACAACATAATGACAACCAAAATGGAGAAAAAAAAGAAAAGAAAAGAAAAGAAAAGAAGCATACGGTGTACCTTGAGAGGTCCTGTAACAGATGAAGGAAAATCTCTACTTCTAGATCTTCGCTTGACAGTTTTGTTGAACAAGGTATTTTTAATTTTTTTCTTACACCAAGCAAGACTTCTCTATATGATGGCCTCCAACCCCTATGACAAATAACAATTGAGCCTAATAAATAACACTTCCAGAATGAAATTCAGCTAAAATTCCCCTTACCAGGTTTCAGTAACATGAAAACGTGATATACCGGCTCCAATGATCAACTTAGTTACTTTAAACAAAACAAATTCATATTCAGTAAAGAGAAATGTTAAGATTTTGGATTTAGGAATTCTTCCAAAAGGACTTTAGCGGGGATTTTAGAAAAATTGAAAGACATTTAGCAAAGCAAATTCCTTGAAATTGTGAGGATCATGTTAATATCGATATATAGGCATTGTAAAACCTCGGTCGGTGCCCCTCCAACTCAAGATTCAGAGTTGTATTCAAGTTGCACATGGTCCAAAAAACCAATTAGGCTTTTATTTGTTGTAATATTAAACTATATTTAGTAGCTAGTCGTTATTCACTATTAAAATGATCCAAAAATAGCTCATCATTGCAAAGCAATTGAACAAACCTCAATGTGGAACGGGCATCTGCTGCAAGGTATAAGAATCTAGATTCAAGAGTCGATATAAATTCGTCCCTCTCTTCCGGGTCCTCTTCAATCATCACATAGTCAACTTCCGCCCGTTTGGTTATTGACTTCAACAAAGGACTGAAGTAACTGAACATAACCAAATTTCAAAACCGTAAAATTAACATCTGATTAAGACCTCTCCACCCTAGAATCACCCACCCTAAAACAATAATGTGCTCAAGGAAGGAATCTAGTGTTACACAGGATTCTAGTCCATCACAATACACTATAACAACTTAATTCACACACACACCCCCACAATCCAAATGTATAGTTTGACCATGGAGTGAATCGATGGTCACAGAGGATTCCAGTCCTATCAAAATAACTTAATTCACACAAACACACGCAAGCACATATCGTTTAACCACCTTGGGCCAAAAAGAATACTTTCTAGCTCATACAACTCGGAGTCTGTGGCTAGTTCAAGCACTGACCGTAGCTCGGGATCAAATGTAGCACCTGTAAATTTAATCAGTAAGCCCGTGTTGGGTTACTAGGATAATATTAATAAGCATTGAAGACCCGACTAAACCCCTTCTAATACCATATACCTCGACTTTGACTTGAAATTGAGGCATGAGGAGGAGAACCCAGAAGCCTTATACCATTATGACGGCAATGCGACCTGAAAATCTGCAAAAATTTCCAAATAAAAATCACTGCAAATAAAAAAAAAGTTAAAAGAAGAAGGGTTTAGGAGATAGAGAGAGTAGTACTGGATAGTAGGCGAGTTGGGTGGTTGGGAAAGCGGAATAGAAGGAAATGGGACGACTATAGAGATGGAATTGGTTGTAGAAGTAGGAGAGAGAATGGAATGCCGATGCTGTGGATGTGGCTATAGGCAGAGCAGACATCTCCGTGATTCTGCAGAACAGCAATTCGCACGCTGCCCACGCCCGCAAATGCTAAACGCAGCATTCTCCCCGAGTTATCTGCCATTCGTCTATAAATCATCTACTCTATTCTATACTTACCTCAATTTTTTTTATTTTTTTTATTTTCAGAGCTTCTTTATATACCTTATCTCACACGATTTATATAAAAATATATTCAATTAAATTATCTATTAAAATCGAACAAACAATTATGTATGGACAGTGTGATTCGAGGAAGAAGACTTGATGATTTTTTTCTTTTTCTTTTCAAGAAAACTTAACTCTAGATGCGATCTCCAATAAAAATTTTAAGAGATTTTTTTTTATATATTGAGAAATTATGCGTGAAGAAAAATTTTTCCTTAATGATTTTTTATGATGCACAAATTGATTTGCACACCACTAATCAGGTAAATAGAATAAAATGCAATAAAATAAAGGGAGAGGGAAAACAAGATTTATAGTTGTTCGGTCAATATGACTTACGTCCACTTTGAATAGCAAGGATCGTCGGTATTTTGTTGACTTTGGTGCGTCAGGAGAGCAAGAATTACAAGAGAGAGAGATAGATGAGCTTGATTTTGTTGAGATGACCCTCAAGTGTTGGGGAAGCTTATAATTTATAGAAGTCTGCGTGATAATTGAGTAGCTTGACGGTTATAACGGACTGGATGCAACTTAATAGTCGATAACCTCTCCTCTTCTTGGCGACCTTTCCTCTCCTCAACCGGTAAAGAAGTTATGATGTTCTCCAAATGACTTGGTCAAGGATGAGGGAGGTTGATTCTCTCTAAGCTACGAGGATGAGTCTCCTGATGCTCCCTTGGTGGTGTAGCTCCCTGATGGGCTTGACTGGGCCTGGGCCTTGTTTGGACTAGACTTGTCAGATTTCTTAGGATTGGATCATTAGTTTAGACAGGGCTTATAATATGGGTTAGGCCCTTGGGCCTGTCCTATCATTTGCCCATCAAATGCCTTGCGTGATGGAACTTGGAAAAGAAGGCATTCAGGTTGAATTTTGAGTTTTCGGCTGACCGGCATAACTGGAAAAACTTCGGGAGGCCTAAACCTATGTTTTTAGGCTTTTTTGAGCTTTCAATAGCATCACTCATAGCCAAAGGCTTTGAGTGTTGTAGGGCTCGTCGAGAGTTTCGATTTGATATATTATAAGCCTCATTTCGAGCAACGGAGCAAAATTTACGGTCAAAACTTCGAGCAGAGAACTAGGCGAGCGGTTTGGGCGAGCAAGCACCTTCCAAGCGAGTAGGGCACTGCTCTGGGCGAGTAGCATTGTTCTGGGTGAGCAAATTTTTAATTATTTTTTTTAAACTTCAGGAGGTCAAAATAGTTATTTCTGAGCATTTTTTGGACTTTTTACATCATCAGTCACAGCCAAAGGCTGTGGGTCTTGTATGGCTCGCCGAGAGTTTCGATTTAATATATAATAAGCCCTTGTTTCGGAGCAAAATTTACGGTCAAAATAGCTAGCAGGTGCACTAGGCGTGCGATTTTGGGCGAGCCTGGGGCGTCTTAGGCGAGCCTAGGGCTGCCTTGGGCGCCTTAGGTGAGCCTAGGATTGCCCTGGGCGCTTTAGACAAGCCTGAGACTGCCTTGGGCGAGCTGACCGTGGAGGTTGGTGCACCTTTAGAGGCTTTGGGCTAGGTGACCATGGAGGTGGGTGCACCTTTGGAAGCCTTGGGCAAGCTGACCAAGGAGGTGGGCGAGCATGCTGTGATGGGCAGACAGTTAGGCGAGCTGAGGGAGGAGACCAAGGAAGCGCTATGGGCGCCCATTATTAGGGAGCAGCTAGCTGCCGCAGGTAGAGGCAAGGTCTTGGGCGTCTCTTGCTGCTCGTGTAGATGGCTTGAGAGAAGAGGTTGCACGCGCCAAAAGGCTGGGTGCCCGTGCAGGCGAGGCGAGGAAGTAGAACCAACTGGGCGAGCTGGCTATTTGCGCTAAGGGACTGGGCACCAGGACCTGTTGGGCGCTGGTGTGGAGGTATCCCAGGTGTTGGGCGCTGCTGTGGAGCCGTCCCACGGGCTGGGCGCTGTTATAGAGGGGTCCTAGGCATTGGGCGCCATTGTTGAGGCATCCCAGGCGCTAGGCGGCACTGCTGAGATGTCCCTGGCGTTGGGCGCCAAGGTCAGGGTGACCTAGACAATAAGCAAGGAGCTGTTGGGCGAGGTACCGCTGGCTAGCGACTTTACTGCTCGAGATGGAGGAGTGTTTTTAGGAGACAAGCGCAGACAGAGATTGTTTGCGCAAGGTGTTAAGCGTGAGGGTGTTGTGGCAACGAGGTGGTGGTGCTGCATGGACACAAAAGGATGACGCCCAATTATTGACATTCAATTTAACGTAGTCCTTTGGGTTGCAGACGACTTGAGTTTCAAGAGCCTGGTTAGAGATGAAAAAAAATAATACTATTCCAAACATTTAAAATACCTAACATAATTACCTGGAGAGAGAGGTCGTCTGCTTGCACGAGAACAAAGACAGAATTTAAGTACTGTTCATAAGAGAGCTACACCTTTTGAGATCGAGCTTTTTACGACCCATGAGAGAGTCCTTAAGCTTGAGATATAGACTGTCTGTTTGAGAACAGTGTAGTGGCCAAACTTTTGGGCGACCCGCGAGCGAGCCGCTAAGCTAGGGATATAGGCTGTCTGTTTGAGAGCAGTGCAAAGGCCAAGTTTTTAGCGACCCACGAGAAAGCCGCTAAGCTGGAGATGTAGGCTGCCTATTTGAGAACAGTTCAGAGACCAAGCTTTTGGCGATCCGGGAGAGAGTCACTAAGCTGGAGATGCAGGCTGCCTATTTGAGAACAGTGCAGAGGTCAAACTTTTGGTGATCCACGAGATGATTCACCTCGCCTAGACCTGTTGATTTCCTCAACATTCATATATTTTTGAGCTTTTGTCAATAGTTCTGACATGTTCTTTGGTGGTCGCTTCATCACTGAGAAGAGGAAGCTTGACGAGCGAAAGCCTCCCAAGAAGGTGGTCATAGTTACTTTGTCATTGGGCTCCTCAATTTGGAGGACCTCCTTGTTAAAACGAGTGAGATAGCTCCTTAGGCTCTCGTCTCGGTCCTGTTTTATGCTGAGCAGGTGGGTGACGGGCTTCTGGTGGCAACACCCTCCGATAAAGTGTGACACGAAAGACCTGCTCAGCTCAACAAATGAGACAATGGAAGCTGGGAAGAGCTTGGCGAACCATTGTCTGGTGGATCCCTTCAAGGTGGTCGGGAATGCCCTACACATGATCTCGTCGGGGACATTGTGCAACTGCATTAGAGTTTTGTAGGTTTTGAGGTGATCAAGTGGGTCCTTTGTACCGTCAAAGGTTTCGATGGATGACATTTTGAACTTCTAGGGAAGCGGGTAGTTCGCCACGTCAGGTACGAATGGTGTGTCGGTTCGCCTAACAAAGTAGTCCACTGTCTCGGGTCCTTGTGCTTTCATAGTGTTGAAGATGTCGTTTAGTTGATCTTGCACCTTTTTTATTTTTTCGTTCCAGTGGTTGGGAACTTTCTTTGGAATTATCTTGGAAATGACTTCCATGCTTCATGCTTTGGTTCTCACCCTCGTCCTCTTGGAAGAAAGGGTCTCCACCATGAGGAGGGGGAGCTAGAGGAGGAGATGGAGGTCCCTCGTGGGGAGTTCTCCTGTGCTGGGCATCTAATGGGGCTCCCAAGGGTGGGGTGTCCAAGGGAGCTCCAAAGGGGGCGCCCAGATGAGGAGCACCCCTATGGGGAGCTCCTTGACATCCAAGGAGTGGAGCTCCTCGAGTTTGAGGTCCACGTTGTGCTTCTCCTTACCCAGCGAGCATCAGTTGCAGGATTTGCTGATTTTGGGCCACAAATTGTTGCATGGCCTCAAGCATTTGCTGCGCATTTGAGGTAGAATTAGTTGGTTGAGGAGTAACCTCCTGCTCTCTTGGTAATGGGTAATCTTCAGACTGATTCATGGATCTGGTGGTAATCATCATTGATTCAGCAAAAAAAATGTTTAGGTGAGAATTTTGTCGTTTTCACAGACGGCGCAAAACTGATGATACACAAATTGGTTTGCACACCACTAATAAGGTAAATAGACTAAAATGCAATAAAATAAAGGGAGAGAGAAAACAAGATTTATAGTGGTTCGATCAATATGACATACGTCAACTTTGAATGACAAGGGTCGCCGGTATTTTATTGACTCCGGTGCGTCGGGAGTGCAAGAATTACAAGAAAGAGAGAGATGAACTTGATTTTGTTGAGATGCCCCCCAAGTGTTAGTGGAGCTTACAATTTATAGAAGTCTGCATAGTAATTGAGTAGGTTGACGGTTATAACGGATTGGAGGCAACTTAATAGCTGATGGCCTCTCCTCTTCTTGACGACCTTTCCTCTCCTCAATCGACAAGGAAGTTATGGTACTCTCCAAAAGACTTGGCCAAGGATAAGGGGGGTTGATTCTCTCTAAGTTGCAAGGGTGAGGCTCCTGATGCTCTCTTGGTGGTGTAGCTCCCTGATGGGCTTGACTGGGCCTGGGTCTCGTTTGGGTTGGACTTGTTAGATATCTTGGGATTTGATCATTAGTTTAGACCAAACTCATAATATGGGTTGAGTCCTTGGGCTTGGCCCATCAAATTCTTTCAACTGGCAATTAAAAAAGGAAGAAAGAGCAACATGTAGTAGAATCGGAGTATTGTTCCGACGATGAGATCAGACAACAACAATTGAGGCAAATTTGTATGAAAGAAACCCAAAATGGAATCTAATAAAGTATATTTTCTGTATAGAATATATGAGATGAGTATAGAAAGAAATCCTAAAAGTGAACATTAAGATAAGTTTTATTATTAATGGGATTAAGCATAGAATATGACGAACATAGTTACTAGCGGGGTGGGTATAAAAAGGGTGAAATTAATAATTTTATAATTTATAATTTAATGAGAGTGAGAACGGAAATTTGTGGGGCTATTCCTACTCCAACACTTCTATATGTTACTTATTTCATAGATAGAAATAAATACTACTATGACATAATTTGTTAATATAATTTCCTATCTAACTTATTAC